CTCGAGGTCAGATCTACAATTGGCGATTCTCCAAACTCTAATCGAGGTAACAATGAAATGTAAATGATCCTATAGACTCACCATGGAATGTGATTGGAGAAAATAAGCAGATTCCACTAGAAATGTTGTGAATCTTTCGTGTGTGTGAAAACCCAATTGAATCAAACTCAAAGATGTTCAAATTATGGATTCTATGAATCAAGTCTAAGCTTTTGTTATAATGGCTTTTAGGTTCCCTTGTTGCTCCCTTCACATTGTTAACAAATTTTAACCCATTTGGATAAAATCGCTCAAGTATTTGATTTCTTTGTGTGTCTGTGTTTTCTCTTGTTACTAATTTGTATGCTTTGGCTTAAGACAAACCCTTTTGAGTCTTACAATGTTGCTTCCTTGTGCTTTTATTTTCAGAGAAGACAGAATCAAAGTTTGTGTTCGACGATAGAATTTGTAAGAAATGGACAGAATGAGTGAATTGGCTGATGAATTGCTGGTGAAGATACTATCTTTTGTTCCAACAAAGGTTGCTGTATCTACTAGCGTTTTGTCTAAGCGATGGGAGTTTCGTTGGATGTGGTTGCCTAAACTCGAGTATGTTAGTTGGCACCCTGCACTTCGAGATTTTGTCGACAAGAATCTACCATTACATAGAGCTCCGGTTATAGAAAGCTTGGATCTTGAATTAAGAGGTTCTAAACCTGAAGATATCAAACGGTGGGTTGGAATTGCAGTTTCTCGCTATGTACGTGAGCTGGAAATTGTTGAATATTCGGATAATAATGAAAACATATTTCCGAGAAGCCTCTATACCTGCAAATCGCTCGTGATCTTGAAACTCGAATATGTGACTCTCATGGATGTTCCTTCTGTGGCTTGTCTTCATTCTCTGAAAATTTTGCAACTTCAAAGTGTGAGATACTTCAGTGGAGAATCTTGTCAACGCCTTATATCTAATTGCCCTGTTCTTGAACACCTTATGGTGGAGTTACGCGACAACGGTTTCGGAAAGTTCATTATTACTAACCCGTCTTTGCAGAGTTTAACACTCTTTATACATGATTGTGAATTGGAAGGGTTTGTGATAGATACTCCTTCTTTGAAGTATTTCAAACTTAGGGATCGGAATTATATGGAACACTACTGTGAGATTAAGAATATGCCTAAGCTGAGGGAAGCATATGTCGATGTTCGGTACCATATTCTTCAAAGTGTTATTAGATCCATCACATATGTTAAGCGTCTCACATTATGTTCAGAGGTAATTAGTTTTCATTCATCATTTGCAAGTCGTCAATCTCATTTGTAGAATCCTCTGTTAATAATTGTGATATCGCTTTGTATGAATAATGGATCCAGATAAAAACAGGGTATGGTGGTGGTTTTGTTTTCAATCAGATTGAAAATCTGAAGCTATGTGTGTGAAAAAAGAAATCGTCAAATCTTCTTGCCCAATTACTCAAAGATTCCCCTAAGTTACAAGTACTAGACATCTCTGACATGGAGGTAAGTTTATTCGATAAACTATTCTTTTTTCGGGTCTAATACGCAGTATAGTCATTATTCTAATTCATCTGCACTGTGACAGAATCATGGGTATGATAGACGTAATAAAATGGTTTGCTGGAACCAACCGATTACTGTTCCCGAATGCATGCTGACGAGTTTACAAATTCTCAACTGGAAACGATACTTTGGGAGAAAACAAGACAGAGATATTGATGTTTATATCTTGAGAAACGCTCGTCACTTAAAGACGGCGACAATCAAGGCTGCTACAGTCGAACATTTTGTTCCAAACCTGAAGATGATCAAGGAGTTGGCACTTTCTTCCCGAGCTTCAAGCACATGCGAACTCGTATTTGTTGAGGGGCATCATATTCTAGCAGCCGAGTCTTCGGCAGATGAGACTTTGTATTCAATAAGAATGTCTCATAGATGAATTATGATTGATTACATTGTTAAACCAGAATCTTCGTGAGGTTGAGTAAATTATTAAGACAGGTTTCGTGAGTTCATAATATTACGAGGACTAAATTGTAATTTAGAGACCGAAGCCGAAAGGTCCGAAACTTAAACCCTAACTCACAAACGTTATATATTTCAGTGATATTGACATTTTATTTTACTTCATGAGAAAATGGCTTCTTCCTCTTACATGCCTCGGCGGAAGACAGGCGAAGATCTGAGTAACTGGTCGGAGCAACCGCAGGAGCTGACGTTTTCGATCATGCTCCGGCTCGACGCGTTTGAGATACTTGAAAACGCTCAGAAAGTGTGTAGCGCATGGAGGCGCGTCTCTAAGAACCCTTTGTTGTGGCGGAAAATCGACATACGAAGCCGTAGAACCGTCGACAGTTACTACTTCGGTCGTATGTGCCGTCAAGCCGTTGATCGCAGCGAGGGCGGTTTGGTGGAAATCAAAATTGGCAACTTCGGGGGCGATTCTCTCGTTAGTTACATCGCTGACAGGTTCTCTCTACTCCTAAATGTAAATCTCTTATATGTTTTATTAGAAAAATAGCCTTGATTATTTTGATTACAAGGAATTATCTTTGAGACACAAACAAATGTCTCAGTAATTTTGATTTGAGTGAGGAGGATTAGGGCAAAATTTTGATTAGAGAATTAGGAAGAAGAGAGTGAAGGGTTTTTGATTATTGCATGTTTATGAAGTAGAAAGAGACTATTATTATGAGATTGGTACATGCTAGCTTTTGAGTTGATCAGTACTATGATTATTCATTATTTCTTAACATTGTTGTTCTTTGTTTACGATTTAACTCTACATACGGAATTCTTTGCAGATCGACTAATCTGAGAAGCCTTCGACTTGAATATTACTATCCGATTACGATCAATGGAAATGAAGTTTACTATCCGTTCAGTGGACTTGTGAATGCACTCGCAAAACTTCCATTGCTTGAAGAGCTCGAGGTCTCACTCACATGGACGTCAAAACTGAATTTGAAAGCTATAGGCCATTCTTGCCCAAAGCTAAAGATATTGAAGCTAAACGGCTCAGGTTCCAACTCTATTCGCCAACGTCATGATGATGATGATGCATTTGAAATTGCTCAAAGCATGCCTGAACTACGTCAACTCCAGCTGATTGGGAACAAATTAACTGACGCCGGTTTAACCGCCATTCTTGACAACTGTCCTCACCTAGAACACCTTGATTTGCGCAAGTGTTTGAACATTAAGTTTTCCGGTGATCTGGAGAAGCGATGTTTGGAGAGTGTCAAAGAATTTATACCCCCCAAGGACTCAACCGCTGGTTGCCCATTTCATGGCGTTCTTTCCAATACTGATTCAGAAGAAGAAGAATCTGAAGGTGACGACGATTTAGTTGACAGTAGTGAAGAAGAATCTGAAGGTGACGACGATTTAGCTGACAGTGAAAAAGAAGAATCTGAAGATGACGACGATT